CTCAAGTGTGGCAGCGGTAGTGAGGTTGGCCCAGGATCGGACATTGTTTCATTCTGCTGTGCATGGGGTCGCTATGAGTCAGTTCCAACTCGATGGCACCTAACAACAACCATATACCTTCAGAGCAACATTCAGACTCGTGTTTGACAAATAGTGGCTACTAATCAGGCTGCAAACCTTAAGTTCAGCAGTTCGAAACTACCAGCTGTTCCGTGAAAGAAAGATGACGCTTTCTACTCCCATAAAGATTTACAGCCTCAGAAACCCTGTACAGGGTCACTATGAGTCAGAATCAACCCAACAGCACTTTAACAACAACAACAACAGAGACTTGTCAAGTTGATATAAAAAATTAACCATCCCAGGGGTCACTTGAGACTGAAAGAAAATAAAATACCATGGGTGGTGGTGGTGGTTTTGTGCTATTAAATTGGTTCCAACTCATAGCATTCCTCTAGAGAGTTTCCTAGGAGCAGCTGGTGGGTTTGAACTGCCGACCTGTGGTTAGGAGTTTAATGTGTTGTTGTTGTTGTTGTTAAGTGCCGTTGAATTAGTTCCAACTCTGAGCCACCCTGTATAGGGTTTCTGAGGAGAAGTTGGTGGGTTTGAACTGCCAACCTTGTGGTTCACAGTCCAGTGCTGATCCTACAGAGCCACACCAGGAATCCAGCAGTTCAATGGAGTATAAATAAATGACAACAAAAGCTGTAGAGGTTAGAACGTTATTTCCCAGGGGGGCAGTATAATCCATGTGTAAGGGATGATTTATAATCTAGACTGGCATTGGAATGTTGAGTGTGTGTTGGGAGGTAGTGGTAGATGGGGTAAAACCAGAGGAGAGAGGACCCTGTGTGTCATTTAGGAGTCTGGACTTGATCAGGGAGCAGTGGACAATCCTGAAAGCTTTGAGTAAAGTTGTTGAAGAATTGCAGCCATGTTTCAAACAGACAAAGACGACGACCATATTATATTTGCAAGGGTCATGTGGAGAGAGAACGGATTTCTTCAGACAGGCCAAGAAGTTCCTATGCTAGAATGGATTTTATAGGATCTGTGAGGCAACAAAGCTTCCAAAAAGATCAGGATCTTCATTGCCTCAGCAAACTACATTTGCTCCTGTGAACTCTTTTAGCATGGTAAAGACTGACTCCACTATTTACCAGCTGTGTGACCTTAGATGGGTTTCTCAACCTCTCTGAGCTTCAGCATTTCCTCTTAAAAAAGGCAAAAACAATAATAAAACATAACAAAACCAGAACAATAATATATTTCATAAGGTTGTTCTGAAAATTAAACAAAAAAGCTGTACAAATTGCTGAGCTCAGAGCCTTGTTGTTGTTGTAAATTGCTGTCACATCAGTTCAGATTCACAGTGATCCTGTATAGGGTTCCCAAGGAGCAGATGGTGGGTTTGAACCACCGACCTTGTACTTGGTAGTCCAGTGTTGATCGTACAGCACCACACCAGGACTCTGTAGTGCATACTATATAAGGAACTCTTAATAATTAATAATTGTATTCTTTAGTATTTGGATGAGGAATGAGGACGGAAGATTAAACAAATTCTTTCCTTCCCAGACCAACACAAACTGAGTAATATAAAAATTACTTTAAACATCCTCAAGGTCACTAGAGTCTCATTGGTGTGGTTCTAATTATCATTGTTTACAAATGTGACTATGTATGTGCTTTGGGGCTATAAACTCAATGCCACTGAGTGGTTTAGAGCTGAGAGGTGGGAATGGCTTCTTAAATCTCCTAGGAGGGAGGTTGGAGGGGGAGAGGGAAGAAAAAGGAAAATCAGCAGCATCTGATGATTACTTTCAAATCTTTCTTTGCACAAAGTGAATTTAAGAAAAAAAAGCAAACAACAATTCCATTCCCTTTCACCAGACATGTTCCAACAAATACTTGTGGTATTGCCTACTTGATGTAATCAAAGCAGTTTAAACATTAATTGAACTCAATTCACCCAAGTCCTGTTAGCACCAGGAACTGACAGATTAAGACAGCTGCCCACAGCTTCACAGCAAAGTCAATTGCTTACATTAAATTAATTCCAAATCTCAGGCTTCCTGTGGCCACTAAATTATTTTGTTTACCATGTTTTATAGTAATTAGAAGTAATTTTAACTCTTTCTGTATTGTCCTTAGAGAGTTGCGTATTCGTTCGTTCATTAAGGAAAATGGACTAAGGTCGTGGGTTTTGAATATAATCACAAAGAGTGGATTACACAGAACCAGCCCTGCATTTGAATCTCTCCAGATGACTTAGTTAAGGGAGAATCCTGGTGTGGCGCTGTGGGTTAATGTCCCAGACTGCAAAGCCGTTTGAACTGCAAGGTCAGCGGTTCAAGCTCACCAGCTGCTCCTCGGAAACCCTTTACAGGGTCACTATGGGTCGGAACTGACTCAGTGGCACTTCACAACAATAATTTAGGGCAAAGGTCGCTGTCACCAGCTACAGAGACAGCTCTGCCCTCCACATCTAAACTCCAGCCTCAACTCTCAAGAGCCTATTCTCCCCTGAGCTATAGGTGTGGCTTGATCCCAACACTTACCCATTTATCGGTGTTCCTTCCAAATGGTTCTGCTCAAACTGAAGTGGACAAACAGTGCCAATCCATGCTACTGTAAATCTACCAGGCACGTTCACTTTGGGATGCTTGTCTGGTTGTGAACACCCTGCTCCAAAGAGACATGAGGGACGTGGCCAGAGGGCTGGTTCTCAGGAGCCCTATGTTCTGACCTGGCTCTGAGGACCACCTAACTCTGTCACCTCCAGCCAGTCACTTCACTCCTCTTCACTTTTCTGAGCTTAACTTTCTCACTTGTCAAATAGCAGTTTGACTCTCGCTGGCTTTCAGATTGTGTTTAAGCAGCCCTACAACAGGCCATCTTCTAGGTATGGCTACAAGGGTGCAGGGATGGTAAAGATACCATTGGGACAAAGGACTCCTCACACTGATAAATACAATCTCTGGGAGGACCTTGGCAGTGCAAATAGTTAACATGCTGGGGGCTTATGAGGTCCTGGTATGGTGCTGTAGAATAAGCACTGGACTGCTAACCACAGCCCACCAGCTGCTCCTCAGTAACCGTATGCAGGGTTACTATGAGTTGGAATGGCTCAATGGCACTTAACAACAATAACACAGGCACCTCAGAAGAAAGGCCTGGTAATCCACTTCCAAAGCCAGCCACTGAAAGCCCTGTGGAGCACAGTACAATGTTGAAATGCATGAGGTTGCCATGAGTCACAGTCGATGGGACGGCAGTTGGTTAGATGATTAGCTGATTAGTAAAGACTCTCCGTTAGCTCTGCATGCTAACGGAGATTCGGGAGTTCAGGGACAGATCTCTCTGAGTCACCAGTTAGGCTTTGCTGGGGCCTCTTTTCTTGCTTATTATGAACTATCCCTTTATTAAAACAAGTGTCTGAGAGTCTAGACTGGTGATTCCCAAGGCTGAAAAACAGAGTCTTCAAGGAAGAAACCTCCAAATGATATAAGAGACAGAGGAGCAGGTGTGTTCTCTTTTGTTCCTCTAGTAGCATAGTGGTTATGAATTGGGCTGCGAACCTCAAGGTCAGCAGTTCAAAACTACCAGACGTTCCGTGAGAGAAAGATGAGGCATTCTGTTCCCGTAAAGATTTACAGCCTTGGAAACCCTGTACAGGGTCACTATGAGTCAGAACCAACTCCACGGCACATCACAACAACAACAACAAAACAAGTGATAAAGTAACAGTTCTGTCCATAACAACAGGCCATTCATTCATTCATTCATTCATTCATTCAATGTTATTTAGTTAGTAAACAGCAGCCGTGGAAGGCTCATAGACAGAATCTGTGCACAGAGCCACAAAGCAGCCCCAAATTATGCCCTCAAAGATTTTAGAGTCTTAAAGGAGAAATTGACACAAATAATAATAAAAATGTGAGTGTTGTGCGAAATAGAGGGGAAGCTTCATGGGAAGTGGAGTGGTCAGAGGGAGCAAGGGAGAGAGGATCACGGTAGAATTTAATTGGAAGGGATCATTTCATGGAGGCCTCGAAGGAAAACTTGGGTTTAAGCCTAGGATGAAAAACATTCCAAGCAGAGAAACATATGCTGGCACAAAAGCCGGGAAGTGGAAACTGTAGATGAGAGTTTAGTTTGGCCAAAACCAAAGTTTGGCAAGAAGAAATGGTTGGAAATGTTCATTGAGCGAATGTCTTAAATATACTGTCTTTGTCCATTTCAGTCTTTCCAAGGCTGTATCACCTGATTCCAGATGGTGAAATCACTAGCATCAAGATCAATCGAGTGGATCCCAACGAAAGTCTCTCCATTAGGCTTGTGGGAGGCAGCGAAACCCCGCTGGTCCATATCATTATCCAACACATTTATCGAGACGGGGTGATTGCCAGAGATGGCCGATTACTGCCAGGAGACATCATACTAAAGGTAGAGACTGAAGCCATAGTGTCGTGATTAAAGGTTTACTCAAAAAAAAAAACTTTGGTGCAAACGATGGTGTGAATGAATAACCAAATGACTGAATGAAGGAAACTACTAAGTCAATGTGGAACAGTTACCTTCTGTGTTAATTTGACTCTTCACATGAGATTTATGATTTGAGTTCCGCCTTTCTTTCTCTCTCTCTGACTCTCCTCACCTACCCCCATAGATAATATTTTCCACTGTCACCGTGTTCTTTTTTCTGTCTTTCTCCTCCATACCTTCTCGTACCGTCCTCACCTTCCCTTTCTCCATCTCCTCTTTCTTCTCTTTCTCCTCCTATTCTGTCTTCCTTTCTACCCTTAGCCTTCTTTAAGCAGCAGTAATATAAAGTTGTGTAAAACTGGAGCATATATTTCCTTCTGTTACATTTTAAAAATTAATCTTAGAGCAGATTGATGGAAGATTTTGTATTTTATCCAATCACTCACATTTCCACACCCTCTAAAGTAAATTTCCTGGAATTTAATGGCCTTGAATTTTCTTTTTTGAAAAAAAAAAGATGTAATCCCTGAACTAGTTCCACCAACCCACAGACATTCCAGGGGATACAGGTGCTGGAGCAGAATGTCTTGGACATTACTGTCCTCCAAGGTTTGGCTGAGGGAAGGATTTTAAGGAGGAATTTTCAGAAAAAGAGGAGTTGTTTATCAGTCAGAAGTAAAGCGTGTGCCAAAAGTGACAAGAAATCTCTTCCCGGTCATATATTTCCTACCTGATACTCAGACAACTGTTTCATCCAATCCCTTCTGGGCAGCTGAGGGGCCTGCTCCTGTCTCCCCATGAGCTGTTTCTTTGGCAAACTGGCTGAAACAAGAGGAAAAAGGATTTAAGGCAGTAATCACAAAAAGGCTGAAACTCCCACTGGTCTTCAAGAAGGAAGACAAGTGGGCCCCTCAACCAACCTCAGGTGGCAAGCAGCCTATAGTCAGTGATCTTCTGCATATGACTTCCTCTCAGTCCTCCTTGAAGCTGTGCTGCCTAAGAGGCTCGTGTTGCAAAACATTCTGAGTCCTGTGGCCTTCAGCTGGTGCGTGGAGGTCAAAGGGCTTCCAGGAGCACTCAACAGACAACCCCAAGCTCCTCCTGTGGCCGAGTGTGCTTACCTTAGTACAGGGAGGCCTCAGGGTCCAATTACCCAATAAGCAAGGCCAACGCAGGTACTTACGTGCTTACTTGTGCTGATTTATTCATCTGTCATAGAAATTTTCACATGGGTTTCACGACATTTGTTGTTACTGTTAAGTGCCATCAAGTCGATTCCAACCCATAGCGACCCTGTATAGGGTTTCCCAGGAGCAACTGGTGAGCTTGAACCACCAGCCTTGCAGTTCAAACTGACTTTGTAGTCTGACACATTAGCCCACAGCGCCACCCCAGGACTCCTTCACTACAGATTAGTAAATCTGCACAACTAAGCCTGTATTTACCTTGCTTACTGGGCAATCCGCCCCTGGGAAGCCTTCATCCTTCTCTAGAGATGCAGCAAAAACTGCGGCTTCTACACACCAAGGCTCCTCTCACAACTGGCTACAAACATAAGACACCTTACTAAGTGGTAGAAATCCACGAAGGTTGTCTCCCCTCTGGGGGGGACGGTTTTCCTCCATTGTGGTGACTAACCATGGGGCTGCAGCCCTGGCTGGGCCACTCAGCAAGGGAATGAAAACCAGAAAGGCCATGTGGCCGCAGTTCTACAGGTCCTTATGGAGACCCAGATGCCAGGGCTGAGCTGAAGGACATTTAAATAGCATTAGAACAGGACCCATCCAGTATTTCTGTAAAGGCCAGAAAACATCCGTTTATGGCGGGCTGCTTGAAACTGGCTAGTATCTCTCTTGTTGTGAATATGGCAAAAGACCTAGCAGATGAACCACCTTAAGACCCTATGCGCACACGCACACATTCTCTCTCAGATACACAGACACAATTCACACACATACACACACAATCACATGTATACAACAATCTCACATGTACACACTCTTACATATACATATATACACACATACACTCTCTTAGATACATGTACATACACATGTAGCATAAACACTGGACTGCGAACCACAAGGTCAGCAGCAGTTCAAACCCACTAGCTGCTCCATAGTGATCCTATTCAGGATCACTATGATTTGGAATGTACTCAGCAGCACTTAACAGCAACAACTTGTCAGATGAAACTGTTGGAACCCCCCGGGGCTATGACCCTTCATCACCCTTCAAATCTGAAAGTGAACTCACCCCGATGATTTAATTTTCAACCAAACAACAAACAGGTCTGTAAGAGGAACAAAGTTTTTTAAAAAGGCAGGGAGGGACGGAATTGAAAGAAGGAATTTTTCCATAAACTTTTTGAAGCCCCCTTAGACATGTACACTCTTCCATGCACACACAAATACACTTACACTCTCCCACACGCATACACACTCATATGCATACACACATACGAAGGGGCTTCAAAACATTCCTAGGAAAACAGAATGAAAAGATAATGGAATTTTTCCATGAGCTTTTTGAAGCCCCCTCATATTTATTTAGTCAGTAATGGTGACTGAAACTTCCAATATGGATGAGTTAAGGAGAAAAATTCATTTGAAGATTTCTGGAAAGAAAATGAAGCTGTTTTGTTTGAACAGCAGATTCAATTGGCACTGAATGGGAAAGTTTCTTCTTTTTTTTAACCTTTTCTTACTTTTTTTTTTTTTCCCCCCTTGGTCATAAAATAAGTTTGGCAGATAGCAAAAATGAAGGTCAGATAATTTTATTGTTCTCTGTAAATTATTCTGTAGGTCATTTTATTGGCCTCAGTAAGAACAGGGTTGAGGAAAGACAGTTTCTGCTCAAGAGGTCTGACCTGGTGGTAGAAGTCATACTCAAAGAAAAATAAAAGTTGCAAGAAGGGGCATATGATCATGGGAGGAGGTGACAGAGCAGGGCAGTCTTTAAAAGAAGGGTTTGTGTTCTTCTAAGGGCCTTGGCCATTCAGGAAGGGCTGTGGCAGACACAGTGGATTGTGTAACTGGTCCAGATTCTAAGGTCCCCTGTTCCTCAGGTCAACGGGATGGACATCAGCAACGTGCCTCACCGCTATGCCCTGCGTCTCCTGCGGCAGCCCTGCCAAGTGTTAAGGCTCACGGTGCTGCGGGAGCAGAAATTCCGGAGCAGGAACAACGGACTGGCACTGGACCCTTATGGCATCCAGGATGACAGTTTCCATGTGATTCTTCACAAAAGCAGCCCTGAGGAGCAGCTGGGAATAAAACTGGTGCGCAGAGTGGATGAACCTGGAGTGTTCATTTTTAACGTGCTGGATGGTGGCGTGGCGGACAGACACGGTCAGCTGGAGGAGAACGATCGTGTGTTAGCCATCAATGGACACGACCTCAGATATGGCAGTCCAGAAAGTGCAGCTCATCTGATTCAGGTTGGTCATAGATGGTTCTAAGGTCCCAGTCAGAAACTCCTAGAGTGAGCTGAAATGCACAGTTCCCTGCTGGCTCACCCTGCTACTCCCACATTTAATGCACCATGCCTCCCTTTCAAAGAGGCAAGAGGGAAGGGCTAGCATCTTCAGACATCTGCCCAGGTAAGAATAGTACTCCATCCATCACACGATATATCTTATGGTCACAGACGTTCAATTGGACCACAGGTAAATACGGTGGATTGTGTGCTGCTTCCTCACAAGGTTAACATCATTCAAGGTCAACAGAGTTATATAATCCTTCTACCTAGTACACAGGATACTGGTGTGGTACTGTAAGATAAGCACTGGACTGCTAACCCAAGGTCGGCAGTTCAAACCACCATCTGCTCTCCAAAGCCCTATACAGGGTGTCTATGAGTTAGAACCGACTTGACAGCAAGAACACAACAACCCAGTTCATAGACCTAGACCCAGGGGTCATGAAGATGCATTCTGGAATGACATCCAGGAGTCCTAACTCCCATAGGAACCAATGCTCAGCCCCTCCAGGGGTTCTATAGACATAGAACCCCTCCCTGATAGGATTGACCAAGGACAAAACCCTGGGCTCCATAACTAAGTCCAGGCCCCTTGAAAAGTCCATGGAGAAAGCTTACTAATAAGAGGCATATAAAATATTGATCATAATAGCCTCACATTGATTCAATCGAATCTCTTTTCCTGATTAGTGTGCTATTACCAAGACCCAGAATGCATCTTAATGACTTTGACTGGGTCGCCATGACAGTTTTGACGTTTATTGAGTTTGCAGCAGTATTCTCAGAGGGAAAGACTTTGTGCTGGGGTCCTGCATTCTAATTTATTCATTTTATTTAGAAAATACATATTAAGTTTCTACTGTGTACCCCACCTTGGATTAGGTACAAAGAACACAGAGATGACAACGGCTATAATTGTTTTCCCAAAGGAGTCTGCTATCTAAAAGTAGGCATGGTCTTGTTTCGGAATAACTGCAGAATAGCTTTCAATGAAATTATTCATTACAGTGTTGGTATCAAAAGAGGAGAGATTTTTGCTTAGATGAGTCTAGGGATGTTTCACAGAGGAGGAAGAGCTTTAACTGAGGCTTTGAGGAATCAGTAGAAGTTCTCTAGGTGGACAAGTCAAGAAGCATTATCCTAAAGAGATAGAACCCAAAAGTACAGGCCTGACTAGGGGAATGATTAATACTTCGTGCATGAGGTGAACGTGAAAAAGTTGTCAGAGGTAAGGCAGGAATGATGCGCAAGGACCAGGCTACACAGAATTGTGAAACATACTGAAGAGCTCAAACTTTCACCCCAGGGTCATGAGATGTCTTTGGAAGGGTTTCTGAAAGGAAATGACATGGTCTGCCGCATGTCTCTAGAGACAGTGGAGAGCTGGTTGGGGCTGAAGATCACTGAACTCATCTTCTGAAGCAGTCATAATTATTCAGGTTCATAATGTCAGCTTCCATTTAGTGACCGAAGCATTATTCCTTCAAGAGTTGTTAAGTTCCATTGAGTCCATTCCAGTCCATAGCAACCCTGTATAGAGTTTCCAGGAGTCCTGGTGTGGCACTGTGAGTTAATGCACTGGACCATAATATCGGTTTGAACCACAAGATCAGCAGTTCAAGCTCACCTCGGAAACCCTCTACAGGGTCACTATGGGTAGCCACCAACTTGACGGCACTTAAGAAGAACATAGAGTTTCCAAGGAACAGTCGGTGGGTTTAAACTGCTGACCTTGTGGCTAACGGTCCAGTACTTACCAAAGCACCACACCAGGAGTAGACTGTGAGAATTGCACATGTGAAAAACGCTGAATTGGCAAATGTTCTGTTATCTATATTTTTACAACAACAACAAAAAAAAACATGTATTTTAACCAAGAATAGCAAGTCAGCAGCATTCCTTTACTACATCTGTACCGAGTTCTACAGGGTACAGCAAGCAAAAGACAGAGCCTGCCCCCAAGGACCTTGATCATCAGGTACAAATGAATCTGACCAACCTTAGGTTCTGAGACCTGGTATGATGCTGTAGGAAAAGCACTGGACTGGTAAGCACAAGATTGGTGATTCAAATCCACCAGCTGCTCTTGGAACCCCCCTACAGGGTCACTTTGAATCGGAAGCGGCTGGACGGCACACACAACAGCAGCCACCACACTTGGGTACTGATCGTGGCTTCTCTAAGGTCTTGGCAACTCTCTTCACCATCCTGTAAAAAGTATCTTATCTCTTCTTAGAGGAAGACCAAGTGACGGGTGGTATTATTGTCATTTCAGATGTGGGCAGACTAAGGCAGAGGGTGCAAGGGAACTTGATCCATCAAGGCAGGAAACACATGGTGCTTTAATTCTTGAGTTGTGGTTTTTGGTAGTGTCCCAATTCCAAGGTAATCTGTGGAGCAAGTGGAAAATAAAACCTGTTAGCAGAGCCATTTCCCTTTTGGAGTTTATGCCATCTCTTCCCAAATTCATATGCCTAGCCCCAACTTTTCTAAACATCACACTTGTATAACCTACTTGATATCCCCACATGAATAGCTAAAAGAGATCTCAAATTTAATATCCAAAATGAACTTTTAGTCTTCTCATCACTCTCCTCAGCCTTGACAAGCCGGATTTTCCCTCACTCAGTCTTTCCCTGTCTAAAGAAATGGCACCAAATTTTACTCAATTGTTGTTGTTGTCAGGTGCCATCGAGTCAGAACCGACTCATAGTGACCCCATGCACAGCAGAACGAAACAATGTCCGATCCTGGGCCAACCTCACTACCGCTGCCACACTTGAGTCCATCAATGATGCCACCTGGCCAATCCATCTCATTAGAGGTCTTCCTCTTTTTCTCTTGAACCAAAAACAACCTTTACTCTCTTCAGTGCCATCAGCACCATCATCTTTGGTCTACTGGACAGGCCAGCGGTCCCCTTGCTTGCACTCCTTCCTGTGCCTTCTGTTGTCCATGCAGCAGTTAGAATGACCACTTTATAGGGTCACTCTCTTGCTCTTAGCCCTCTTCTTTTTCCCAAGACACAGATTAAAATTCCAATTCCTTACTATGGCCTGTGGAACTGTTCATTATCTGGTCTTTAAGCAAAGAGGAGAATTTCTAGTATCATCTTGTTTGCTTCTCCTGTTCAGTCACATTGACTTCTTGCTGCTATTCATTTCTACAACAGGTCCGTTTTCTCCCAACATTTTTGCTGTTCTTCTGTCTGGAAGAATCTTCTCCCAAATCTCTGCACTACTCATTCCCACAGTTCATGCAGGTCTTTCAGTCAATGTCTCTTCCTCCTCACAGAGGCCTTCCTTGATTTCTTGTTGTTGTCCAGTGTCTATCAAGGTGGCTCCAACTCATCTGTATGCAACAGAAGAAAACAGTGCTCAGTCCTGTGCCATCTGCATCATTTTTGCTCTATTTGAGCACATTGTTGCTTCTCAAATCTATCTCTTATGTCAGTCAATCTCATTAAGGGTCATCCTCTTTTTCACTGACCCTCTGTTGTACCAAGCATGATATCCTTCTCCAGGGACTGGTCCCTTCTGATAATATGTTCAAAGCACATGAGATGAAGTTTTGCCATTCTCGCTTCTAAGGAACATTACAGCCATACTTCTTCCAAGACAGATTTGCTTGCTCTTCTGGCATTCCATGAAATATATTCATTATTCTTCACAAACACCATAATTCAAAGGCATCAATTCTTCTTCAGTTTTCCTTATGCATTGTCTGGCTTCCCCGTGAATATGAGGAGATTGAGAATACCATGACTAGGTCAGGTGCACTTTGCTTTTTAACATAAGAATCCCTTGAGGATCATGTTAAAATGTAGATCCTGATTCAGTATATTCCGGATGCAAATGTAAATTCTTAGCAGGGGGTCAAACCAGAATGAACTGGTTTGAAGTCCTGGAATCCCCTTGTCTGATTTAAATACAGTCAAGTCAACCTTAAGCAGCTGATTCTAGCCTATGGGTGGAAACAGAAAACAGACCATGTTTTTGGAAGTATTGTAGTCCCTGGATGGAGCAAACAGTGCTTCGGTTACATAGCTAACTGTTAACCAAAAGGTTGGAGGTTCAACTCCACCCAGAGGTGTCTCAGAAGATAATCTACTTCTGAAAAAAATCAGCTGACACACAGATACCTTGAGTTGGAATCAACTCAATGGTCACTGGTGTTTTTATGAAAACATTAACACATGGAAAACGAAAAGGTCATTTTTTTTTCCTCATGAAGAAACTGTACACTTAGCATTTTTTTCTCTTTCAAAAACTAGATTTCAGGGGCTCGTTAGTGTGTGTGTATGTGTGTGGGTTGTGCCTTTTCACTCCCTCTGCAAGTCCATCATCGCAGCCCACGTTCTAGAGATAATCAATGCCAACTGTACTTCGCAATAGGCACCCCCCCAAAAAATAAAACCACTCTCTTGCTTATGCCAGTTGGTTAAATCTTGAGTCCACATGGCATTTTATTTTTGTAGATTAATAACAGAAGAGCAAAATATCGTTTCCTTGAGAAAGTTAATATATGAAATAAAATCTTGCCTAAGAATGGGATTACCCTGAAAGATTCTTTTTGCTTACTGAACAAAGCCAATATGCTTTATAAGCAGGAAAAAAACTGTTTTGTTTTGTTTTTTGTTTTTTCAATTAAGAAAAAAAAAATCAGGGCAACACTAGTTGGAAAAGAAATGAAAGAAATAAAATGCTGGGAAAATGTAGCTAAGCAAGCTCTTGTTATTTCTCAAGAGCGGATTTTATTTATGTGATACTGGTAACACATACTAGGCTAAGGGATTAAACTCAATCATCTTCAAAGGTTGAAACTCAAATTTCCAACCAATCCTTGGCCACATTGCCTTGGTGTGTTTACTCCATGAATCACATTTTCTCTACCAAAAGCTTCCCAGACAGCATGTTCTTTTGGTCATGTTTTCTCCCACAGTACCACACATTCTGCCTT